CCCCAAAACCCCAAAACCCCAAAACCCCAAAACCCCGGGCTTAATATTATAATTGGAATGATCAATAGAATATGAAATTTTAGCACCCGAATACTTTCTGATGTCTGGATGCAAAATTTACATCTATTTTCTTTATAATTTCTTACATTTTTTACTTAAACCGAGGGACCTGCGGAGGTTTCTCAGCACTTCTCTTTTTATCGCTGTCAAACTGGATTTTTCTGATAATATTTTCGATTTCTTCAGTAGATTTTCTTATTATGTGAGATCAAGAGGATCCAGAGTCTTTCTCATTAGACATTTTCAAAGGTGTGCCATCTCCTCGGTCAATCTCAACATCATTTTTCGTGACAATACCAACCAGTTGTTTATTTTTCTCAGTTTCTTTGTAGAGTTTTATGTCCAAAGCTTTCACTTCGTTTAACAATTTCATGGATAAGGCCAAAGCTTGATCAAGGACAGTCCTGGTTAATTTATTATTCTTTTGCTCAGCCTGAAATGCCTTTTTCCATTTCATGACCTCCTTATCTCTCTTGATTAGCATTTCTGGGTCTTTAATATTGACTTGTCATTCAGCATCTTTATTTGGAGCATCCAAAATCAGAGGTTAAATGAATTTTAGCACCAATTTGCTTATCTAAAATTCTAAGAGAATTCTCGAGATTCCCCACTCCTCAATTTGCCTCCACCTGAGGGGCAGCACATTTTGAGTCGAATGTTATTAGGTTGTTCCGATTCTGAAGGTTTGGTTGAACTTCTTCCTGATCTAATTCTTCCTCAAGCATCATGAGATCAATATTTTCAACAAGGGGGAACTGGTCTTCTTCTCATTTTCCTAGGTTAATCTCATTTTCTATCCCAAACAGTTGATCATCTCTTGGCCTACCTGTGTACTGGTTGTCAGGGATCAAAGATAGCTCAATCTTAGGTACAATGTTTGAACTAGATTTCTGATATTCAGATTTATGTGAACTATCAAGTATCCCACTTAATTTTGAAACTCTTTTTAGAGGTTTTTCAACTGAATCAGATTGCTGATTTAGAGCATCTTGGTATATCCTACTCATGTGTTTACTATCAGTAGAGGGAGTGATCATTATCTCTTCATCTGGCCTGATATAAAACTCATCTTCATCGAATTCATCATCAGTAAACAGCTTCACTTCTTCATTATCATGAATTTTATTTTGACTCTTCGCATTTTTATGAGGCTCTTCATTATTAAGCAATTGGCTAGTATCTACATATTTCGTAATGGATTTATCATTAAGAAGGGCATTTGGAAAAGTCTCAAAATTCTTAGCATATCTAGTCGAACTTCTAGAGTTACTACTTCTTTTAATAGCATGTTTGAAGTTGCCCAGCGAGATTTCATGAGGATTTCATTGCTGATATTTGCTTCTGAAATTTGAAAATTTCTGATCATCTTCTCTTCCAAGTAGTTTCAAGTTAGTTGAATGAAGATTTAGAGCAGAATGATGATAATCATGAGTTTTATTCAAATTATTTACTCTTTGAACTAAATTCATCCCTTCAGCATTAGTGTATGATAATTTTCTTCTTGAAGAGCCTCCAAAGTTATTTCTTGAGTTGTTGAGCATATTACCAATGTTGTTATCTTTGGAGATAATCCCATCTTTAGACTCTTCGATATCTTCAAAATTCTCCATATCTGAATCAGAATCTAATCTTTTTAGTTGTATGTCTTCTTCTGTCCTATTTATAAGTGATTGAATCTGGTCTCTTTTAGGTCTTCTTGCTTTTATCAAGCTCAAATGAGAGATATTATGAGATGCCGGATGCCCGTTTTTGTCCTTTCCAGACAGGTTCTTTGGAATACTCTTCAGATATTTGGAACTTTGGTTATTGATTAAGATTGGATCAGATATCCTTCTCTCATTCATGGTATTATTTAGCATATGTTGTGAACTCTCACATCTGGAGTTTTCATTCAACAAAAATGAAGAATTTAAGTGAACGTTCTTTGTGTTTTTAGTGGATTTTGGAGGGTTTTTGAACTTATTTTGAAATGTAAATTTATTTATGACTTCATTTTGATGTCAAAACTCCTTGTTTATATAGATCTATTGAAGTATTGTGTTTGTGAAATCCATGGCCAAGCATTTGTTTGACTGGAGAAATTTTTGGCATTTGATGAAGAGACACTTTCTTGTTTATAGCTCTTGATTTAGACTTCTTTCTAATTCTCCTACTATTTTTCCGCGAGTTATCCATTCTTTTTAATTCAATTATAATAATGTAGTATGGGGTTTTGGGGTTTTGGGGTTTTGGGG